CTTCTCATCCTGTCATGTAACGGTAGCCAATCGACTGATCTCGGATGCCGCCACGTTCTATCCATACCGAGCATACTTTGAGTCATTGCTATCGCATAGCAAAGAGGCTCAAAGTAGCCAGTTGACTTCGGCTGCATTCTATTTGGACACGCCCGCCAAACATAACGATGAGACGTCTAATCAAGGAGAAAAGAGCCGTAAGGCTTTATTTCAAACCGGACAATATGTTCAACTTTCTGGAAGACTGTTTTCGGACTTGTTTGACCAAAGCAAACCACTGTACAGGGGTTCCTGTGAACATCCGTCTGGTAGTCAGCCGCCCTGAATTTGCCCTGCGTGTGTGGGATAAAGATGCCACGAAAACATAAGCCCTTCATTCGCAATGCTCGGTTGTCTATCCGACGCTACATTCCCTCACCGGATTTTCTGACAGCTGTTGCTGGTGAATTGTTAAAGAAAACCGTCAAATATCATGTTGAGCGGATAGTTATGCGCGTGTCGGACATTCCTCAAAAGACGCAAAGCACCGTGGTCAGCAATCTACAGATTGGGCAAATACCCAAAGTCGTGTTCGTTGGATTTGTCGATAGCGAAGATTTTCACGGATCCATCAAAAAGAATCCGTTTAACTTTCAACATTTCAACATTACACAACTTAGTGTGGAAGTGGATGGTCAGAGCTTCCTAGCAAACCCTATAAGTGATTTTGAACACAACTTATCCTTGGAGTGCTACGATGGTTTGCTCGATACTCTGGGATACCGACCGAGTTTGCAAGGCGGACTACCGTTCAACCGCACCGAATATAATCAAGGATATACCATATTTGGTTTGACCTTACACCAGGACATACTGGCCGCGGACCTTTGACCTTGATAAAACAAGGAAATCTGAGTGTATCAGTTTGCTAAACCATTGACGACAACAATCATGATGGTGTGCATGCTGATTTATGACAGCATCATCGAAATTAATCAACATCGCCAGTTGATTGCGGATTTTTCAACATGAACACGGAGCAAATTCAACACTGTCTGCAGGAAATCCTGTTACCACCCAGCTGTTCCGCGGTGTGTTTGCCAGTGACCAAGTTCCGCCATGTTTAGCCCCGTACCCTGGAGCATGTGTAGTTAACACGGACCCTCTGACCAAAATGGCACACACTGGATTGCTTTGCTACAAACCCAAGGGAATCTTGGAAGTGTTTGATTCGTATGGTAAAGCGTTGGAAACGTATTCTCCAGCACTTCTCTATGCTTGCTCAGAATAATACTATTGTCTGTCAAGACGAACAGTTTCAGTCCGAATATAGTACCGTGTGGTCAATATTGCTTATTTTTTGTTTTGAGACGCGCTAACGAATCTTTATAATATTGTACATTTATTTACCGATAATCGAACAAGCAACGACAAGATGGTGTGTCAGTATGTAAATTCTTTTTTGATATCAATACAGCACTAGTTGACGGATCTTTTCTCCGTCAGATATGTCAACGATTAATGAAATGAACCATGCAAAACGATCTGTTCAAAGAAATAAATAGAACAAATGCCGTGTTATACTGTAGTGACAACCATAAAATGCATTACAGAAATCCTAAGTTAAACTTGGTTCAGAGCAGTTTACTTGCATACGGATTTGATTTTCATGTATCCAAATACTTCACCACATCCAAACTTAAAGCTTGCTTAAAGCTCAGTTCAAAAACCAAGCAAAATGCCATGCACAAAACGAGCATCCAACAGACGTTGCACAGCATCTTTCCATTCCGTATCCGTTAACACGTCGGAAATCAGGGCATCTTTCATGAACTAGTTTCACCATAGCATCAATAATAGCGTCGCACAACTTCTCCTTTTTGTCGCATCCACATCCTCAACGATTTCGTCCACACTGACAATATGTTTGAAGAGAGTGAAATCCCGTATGAGTTCTTTCAACGCTTCGTAGCACTTCTCGTTCAATGAAATCCGTTTCTCGTGGGCATCAAATCACCTTCTTGAGACCGCTGATGGCGAAAGCTAGCCACGATTAGGACGGCTCCAGCTGAAGTACACCCTCGGTCCAGTAAGAATAAAGGAGGTAAATTTCCATTGGAATGATCCAGATCGGCTTTTCCCGTCAGCAGTAACGATACCAAGCGCATGAATCCTCTTTTGGTAAGGCTTATCGTTTTCGCCCACGTCTGCTTCCATTTCCCGGGCGGTCCTTCCTTCCATTCACCAATAAAAATTGAGTTTCTTCCCACTGATAATCGACATGCACAAATTTCTCGTTGCCCAGACGATACACAGGACGACCGTTCTCTGTGAAGGCTAAACGAGGATGAGTCTTCTCGACACTGCACTTAGTCTTGTTGACTAGTGGCATTTTAGGCTTCGAGTCTGAACGGCGGCGTTTTAGAGATGGTTCCATTTTGTCAGAGCTGAACTCAAATGAAGTGTATGTTGAGCGCACGCAAGTTGTAAAACAAATGTTTGAAGGTCAACTGTGGTACATGGTGCCAGGTAAAGTACCTGGCACCAGGTACCATAAACTAACTGCTATTGCCGAAGTGATAAACGAGTTGTGTATTTCAGTCTAGTCTTGACCATGGCTCTGCCATGTGTTTTAGATGCTGATTGGTTTATAATTGAAAAGGTACCATATATCAAACAGCTGGCCTTCTCGTGCCCAAAAAAACATGACAGTGGGCAGTACACCTTCAGCTTACCACGATCAGCCGGTAAACACGCTCGCGAGTTGCAGAAACAGGCCAAGCATTCCCATGGGCTTCTCTGGAGCACCTTTGGTGATTATCGACACAATCAAGTGACGGTTGCCTTGGAAGACATGTTTAACCGTATTGGCCGTCCTAGTAAGCTAACTTTCTATGCCAAGGGTTTGGACAAGTGCCGTTTACTGGAGCGTTATGTGCCCCAAGTGGTCAATCTTGAGGAACTAGGTTGCCCCGTCTATCACCGTCTAACAGATGTGCCCCAAACAACACTGCGCAAAGCTATTCGGTTCGGTTTGTGGTTCTACTGCCATGCCAAAAATCATGAATGTCGTTGCCGTTGCGGATTTAAACACTATCCTCAATCTGAAGGAGATTGAAAGAAAGTACCGATGGCGCAGTATATTCCCCGCAAATTTTCCGGCTTACTCCTTCGTATTCTCTCTCCTACAAAGCACATTGCCAACTATATTCCAATGGAAAAATCACGGTCAATGGAGCTCGTTCGGAATCTGCTGCCAGAGAATTGGTCGACAAGTTTACCAGCATTCTTCAATCAATTGGGTACCGTTGTATCGTTTCAGGATTTCGAATTGTTAATATTGTTGTCACTCATGATTTTGGTGCGTATACATATTGAGAAATTCAGCCAACATTACAAGTTGGAATATACTCCTGAATTGTTTAGTGGTTTGCGTATAAAATTGCCTTGGTTTACGGCTGTGCTCTTCCCATCGGGGAAGTGCAATTTTTTGGGATTGAAAGAAATGCATGACATACAAATATCTGTAGACTTTGTCGGTAGAATGATTGCAATGCAATAAATTTATTCAATTGTGTATCCTGCTGGCCTTTGATAGCAATGGCACCCTGGGCGTTTTGGAATCCAAACTTTACAGAGCCTGGTTTTCACACATTAAAACGTTTTGTATCCAGAAACTGGAATTGTAGCGTTTGCAATTTCTTTTGTCACATGTACCGACGAAACATTGTTTGATATTGTGGTTTTTTATTTACAAAATGATGCCATGATAAACGGAGTTGTTTATGACGACATATATTAAGTAAAGCTGGTAAATCAAATGCAATAAAGCTTTAAATAATGCAATTAAATATCCACACAAACAGAACGAAATCTGACGCAAGATCGGAATTCTGGGTGAAACGAAAGTAAACCAAACAAACATTTACTTCTTTCCCCTTACCCGTTATTCCGTCAGAGCTTGAAAGTAATTGGCTATCAATCCTGGTTAATCCATGGAATAGTACAACAATATCATATCAACACCCGGTAAACAAATCAGTAGCAGTTGCAATGGTTCAAAAAAGATTGGATAGTATACAATGGCCGAAAACAGTTTTCTTCCGTAACTTTCAGATAGAATGCACACATGTTTGTAATTACCAACTAGATTTTCATAGGCCAATGCATATCTGTTATTATGCGACTGGTACTTTGGCACCAGGTACGCGTTACCATGGTAACGGTACCTGTACCATGTACCTGGGCCATGTACCATGGTACATGGTACATTCAATCACGACATACTGTGTTGTGGTCAGCATACAAATCAAATTTACAAAATTATTTCCATTTATCCACATATCCGTGCAGATGCACATGCACAGGTGTATCGTATACTTGTGCGCATGTGTGCAATTGCAAATGCACTTATACATATGCGCATGTGTGCAAATGCTCATACACACTTGCGCATCCGTGCAAATGCAAATGCACATGCGCAGAATTGGCGTGAGTTAAACAAACGTACTACTTACGTGACAATCACTTGAAAAGTGTATCAAGCCGGGCCTGTGGAACGGTTAGATACTTACGGCTGAAAATTAAAGCGGACGAACCACGTACAAGTTAAACAGCACGCCGGCTCTACAGATAAATGACTAGCGGTGCTTGCGAAGCAGAGTATTGCACGAGCGCGAGCGCCAGTACCACTGGGAAATGGTATTGGGACTGTGGAATTGGAAGAGCGTGACGCACACTCTTCGTGGCGTCAGACAAATTTCATGCTCTTGACGAAGACTTACTGCAGTATCTCACGCTTCGCGCTCGGTGCAAAATTGCAAATTAGCGGAACAGGCTCAGGCTCGCAACAGTTATAGTAATAAAACGGATGTACCTTTAATAAGTATCATGTCATAAGTACAAACTTAGTACTAGAAAACATTTATAACAGAAACACCTCCCCAATGCTATCCTGATCGGGAATTGTACCCATTACACAAATCGCATTAGCTATAGTACTACTCACGGTCAGGGCCCGCCTTGCGCTGCTGTCCGTCGAACGACAGCGACCTCTGCGGTTGTGGTGGGCTCGGTGGGCTGGCTGACGGACATCCCGCCGACAAGGACAGCTGCTGCAGCAGTATTACACAGCTGCACAGGAAGGCCTGCCAAAGGCCGCAACGGGCCTGAGAATTCGCCATCCACGAAGCCATCGCCGTGCGCCTGCATCAATCAACCATTCAGACTGTCTTTTCCTAAGCTTCTACAACGTTGTACAAGCTGGACACTGGCCAACTATCGGCCAAACAGCTTGACATAGACCTGTGCTTCGCCATACGCGCATACATGGGGTTCGCTGACAAAAATACAACTAACATTATCCAATGAACTGATTATGCGCAGCTTTAATTACTTGGACTTACCCACTTCGATTCGGATCAGATATTTATTTTAATAAAACGGGAGAAAGATGGACGCCGGAGAGGTGCAGTGTGAAGTGCAGTAGCTTCTTAATTGTCCCTATGCAATTTTCAGGTTGTCAGGAGGTTATTCAGCGGATAATCACATCCCGGCGCTAAAACAGAAGTCAGTGATTTATCGCTAATTTAGGTTGATGCCGTATATATACAGTATTAAAGATAAACGCCGGCCTTCTTGCAAAGCTGCCGATTTATCCGCAGAGCCTTCGCCATGGCAAGTGATTGGTTGACCTTTTTAGCCGGACGCCATCTTGCTTTTGAGCGCACTTTGCTTGCTGACTGATCAAGAAAAACCCAAAAGAATTTTCTATGAAACTCTACAAAAAACAGCTCGTTTGCATAAAACCGTATAAATTACTAATTTTTGTTGAATTTCTAACCATTTGTGCAGTAAAACTGAGTGTTATTTTCGCGCCGCGCGAAAATAACTTAATATTGTACATTCAAACAAGAATAATATATTACCGCACGAAATAGGCATACAGAGTTCATCATGTTCTATAGTACTTAGTACACAATCTCCTGGTAATCCTTTACCTGGACAGATGAACCAATTATTTTGACAGTTGCTTTTTCCATTTTGATGATAATCCTTCAACTTTGTATTTAAAGTTTAAAGTGCAAATCAGTACAACAAAGTTGAGTCAACTGCAAAAATAGATTTCAATCAGGATAACAGTTTAAAAAACAGAGCATAGTTGTTTAGACGTTTGACGAACTGTTGGGCGAACTGTGCGAATGCTGCAGGTACTGGAAATGGCATTTTCCAGTATTTGCAGCATTCGCACATTCGCCAGTGAGAGGTACTGGCAGTCTAAGTAAGCCTAATCACAGGCCTACCAGGTCGGATTTTGCCATATTCGCCACCTTCTAACAGTTCGCCAAGGGTGCTTTAAAGGTTAATCTCAGGAGGTATGCCAAACGGAATGCCGAGTCTGATTTTCCCATGTTGGCAACGTTCGCCTCTTTAAAGGTCAATCTAAGTAAGCTAACTAAAGACATACCGGGTCCGAATTTCATAATGCAAAATTCGCGCTGTTTCGCCGCGGATGCTACAAAGGTCAGTCTAAGTAAGCATAACAGACGGAATGCCGGGTTATACGTAATTGCCGGGTTCATGTAATGCTTTTAGATAAAATGAGCGTCGTAAGCTCGTAACTCGTAAAAGCTTATGGAAGGAAACACTTAACCAGCCTGCGGCTCCAAGGCCCCTTTTACTGCAGTGTGTACGTCTCTTTACCTCATTTACTGCAAAAATGGTAATAAATGCAGCGTCTGGGTCACCAGTTTTCGCTGAGGCGATTCTGTCAGAAGGGCCGTCTGGATGTCTTCAATGGTATCGGGAGGCGGACTGCTCCACCTACAAACAGTTTAACAACCCCTTTACCGTTCACCCAGTTGTTGCGTTGTAAATGCGTAACGTACAACTGTACATGTTGTACAACGAGTCAATACTACGTGTCATGTCGCGAAATTATAATTATGTTGAATGTTTTTATGCAATTTCCGCTTAGTAGTTGTTTTTCTTGTATTCACCTAGCAGCGTTATCGGTCATCAGTTGAGTTGTTGTCTTCCAGTGAAAGCAGCGTAAAAGCGTAATAAGATACTCTGTTAGATCACTTACGCCTACTCCGGTGATTTAGCACACCGGTCTACGCAGAAGTCTTTCGAAAATTAATAACAGTTACAGCGCTAACTAGACTGAAATATCCAAAACCTTTGGTGAGGAAAACATTTTCTAAGAAGTTGTTACTGATTTAATATGGTTCAAGTTTACGCGACTGATAATGTTTTTGGCGGCCTTAATACGTAACCGTGGTTGCGGACGAAATGTAAAAAAGACGCAGAAAGAACGAACTTACTACTGTAGTGACACAGGTTTAAGGAACGTAGGGGAGGCGTGGTCAGCGCACCCGGATCGTTGGTCTCTTTGATCTTGAAAAGGGCCGACGACTCGTGTGCGCTGCCCGGCCCTGGAGCGTCCTTAAACCTGTCCAGCATAAACGAGACGCTTAGGAACGCCCACAGTAATTCCTCCGGCAGATGTTCGGGGACTGTGAAAGCGTTTAAGCCATACAGCAGACGATGCAGCTGTGTGCCCTCCAGTTCCGGACAGCACACTTCTAACATTCGGCGAACGGAAGCCGAATAATCCGCTGTCGTTGTGCCGGCAAAACTGAACGACCAACGAGCCACGTTGAGAAAGAAGGTGGCTTCGTATCGGGTGCACAGATCGTGGTCCACGCCCCCTGTCTCCCCGTTACGACGTACTATAGGGAGGTTAATGGAGTTCTTCGCGTCGAACACACACTGTCGCAGCAGGAGATGATCGCATATGGTTCGGAACTGCGGAGCCTGGTAAGGGAACAACATATACACATCCGGCTCGATCACGGTTAAGACATTGGTCGGCTGGGGAAATCCAGTTCGTTAATGTACAGGTCTGTATTGCCAGTGATGACGAGCCACTTGAGCTTCAGTGACAGAAATTTCAGTAAGTCGACCAAGGAGAACAGACAGTATTCCCACTCTCCCACGAGGCACAAAACGCGGCAGTGCTCCGTGACAGTGCGCGCCAGGTAGTGCACACAGGCGAAACTTCCGTTTCACCTCCACGTTCTGCTTGCTGCGTCCGCATCATCGGGACCCACATCCTCATGAAACGGCTGCACCGGCAGGATGACACACGACCGGATTATACTGGAGTCCAGCAGATGTAGAAACGCCTTACTTACCCTGTAACGCCAGCAGCGTTTCGTAACCGACAGGTAATTAACGTGCCGTCTGCGGACCAAATTTTTATTGTATCGCGAAGAATCGATTGTCAGCATTTATACGATTTTGCTTTTTTATCAATTAGTTTCGTAGCAAAAACCTTGCTTCGTAAACGCGGCTCACCGTTTAATTATTTTTACGCACGGTAACGGGAAGTAGTGGCAATGACGCCAGAAACGGTCAAAATAGAACCTCTAGAAATGTCTACCCCAGCTTTTACCTTTTAAGTAGATTTTGATGGAATATGTCCAGATTGGAGTAGACGATGATTTGAATTTCCAGGATTAGTTCGCTAAAGTAGGGCTCATCGTCAAGAAACTCTGCAAATTAGAGAGTTATCCAAGCACATTGATATTGTAGCCGTACAAATGAGATCTGTAGTGAAGATGTACATCTCATTGGTGCTAGTTCAACCGGAAACATTTGAGTGTGTACTTGTACGAGATGACCAGTTCTAACGTGGATTTTCTAGACTTATGAGATTGTTTGAATGTTCTGAAATCATGCTTGCTCTTGCCCGTGCCCTTACTCTGTCCCCAATGACTTTTCAGCTGATTAAAAATGTTTGTGCACTTTGACAATCGCGCCGGTATCGGTTAACATGTTCGCAATTGCATAACTGACTTTTGAGTAATTCGCTAACTCGTAACATCACCGTAATAGGGGCCAGTGCCGTATATGACTGCGTAATATGCTCGTATACTGTGCTGACGGAAAGTGAAAGTAATAGTTCTTAATTATAACTTTAATCACACAACAAGCAGGAATAACAACGAGATGGAAAGCAACAGGAAATGGTAGACCGATCGCTGGAATGATCGATATCATTCACAGCAAAGCAAAACCTTATATCTCAGTGCCACCGTGTTGCAACGATTCTAGAAAGTTCGGGTAACTTTCACGGTGACAATAAAACATGAGACCAGTCTCTTAGATTGTTATGCGTTATGGCCAAAGCCATAACGTGCTCATCCATGCACACATTCGCAATGAAACAAGCTGTAAGAAAACGCATCATGCACAAACACAAGTTTAGCAATAAAGCTCATAAACATAGTCGCCTATCAAATGACCGCTATGCGTATACCGGCGTAACAACCGACGGTCACCGACGAACCATTAAAACCTAGTTTTATCGTGGTACGGGTGGATTAACCCACTCCACTAGTGGCAGCTTAGAAGTTGCCGTTGTAGTATCGTGATCGCTTTACTAGTTTTGCCGCTGATAGTTGCTTTAGTGAGACTGCCAGCTTTTGCAGTACATATATATTTTTGGTTCAAGTGCTCGAATGTCCTACCTTCGGACTGTAGAACGGTGCAGACTAAGCCACCGAGTATGTCGCCGACCGTCCGCTGCTGCATAACGAACAAGCCTTCCACAAATTCCGTTGTCGCTCTCCGCACTAGAAAACCGTCATAGCGGCCTGTGTCGGCGAGGTAGTAGTTCTTCACTTCGTTATACATTTCCGCGCGCTCGGGGGGGCCAGCAGCAGCTCCATATAGTCATCGTGAAGGCCCAGCAGCATCGTGTGCGAGTCTCGCAGCCAGTATGTATGGAATCGTGGGAAGGAACACGCTGCTTGCAGAAAGCGCACGGGATGCGGATACTTCTCGGACGGACGGAACATGGGCTCGGACGGAACATGGGCGCGGACCTTTTGAAAAGCACCACGAGGCACGAGCGGGCCGTGATCTCCGCGCCGGCGCAGCCGTTGCGTCAGTGCGGTGGGTCCATCAATGACGGTGTAGTGCCCTACGATGGCATCCGCTTGGGGCACTTCCACGGTGACGACCCGAATACCCGCACGAACTAGGCAGGAACCATTCGGTCTCCGCCCAGCGAATGCTGTCCACCAAGCGAGCCGGCGTCCACGCCGCCACGCCGCTGTCCTGGAGGTCGATGCGAACTTCGATATCGCCCGAGCTCAGGTCCGTAGTGGATTCATCGAAATCGGGGTCTTTAACACTCCACACATCACCATACGCGGCATGCTGCACCGTATGGGCGTCCAGCCTAACGGACACGCCGTGCTCGTCCACATCACAGACATACCCACGCATCAGTTCACCGGACGCTCCCAGTATATCCACTACAAACGGATCATACAGACCACTGTCCGATTCTAAGGAGTATTCCGGCCTGTATATAGGGAGAAGAAGAAATTTTCCCAAAGGCATGCTACCTGCAATGGAATATACAGTTGAACCTGGTACTTGTAAGATACAAACTATTAGGATTTCATTAATCGAACGGAGCACAGCAAAGGCCCTCTAATTCAGACAAAATTAAAAATCCTCGATCCGCTACGGAAGTAAGAAATGACGTCATACAAGGAAGTAAATGTCGCCATATGAGGAAGTTAAGGGACAGCTTAAGGAAGTACTTACAATATATAGATATGTTTGCACATCCAGTGTTCAAATGTTAAATACGGCACGGTTAGTAAATTTTTCCGCCATAGGTACTGCGCTCAGACACATATAGCGGCTGCCGACGTTTTCATTTAAGGCAGCGTCTTTCTGTTAAATAAGACAAAACATATTTGGCAAACCACATAAAATGCTTTAGTTTTCCATCAAAGTGCGTAAAACTGCATAAAATCCATGGTGCGACTCACTTGTCAGGAAACAGGTAGACAAGGCCACGCAGAACGAACGCTCCACGAATAGTTAAAATTATTCTTGAACTAGTTACTTAACAATTGGGAAACCAGCATAATCAGACTAGCCAACAATTCCAGGCCTACTATCGTCTGTATTGGCAACACTCGCAATCGAATCAGCGGACGAAGAACGCTTCAACAAGGAACAAGGTTGGGAGAAGAAACTGGGAATCGGCTTAACTGGAATCTAAGGGGATAGTGCGGAGAAAATGCATATGCGCCAGTGCAGAAGGAACTGCTCGTCGGATCAGCAGCGAGAAACGGCGACGGATCGATACTATTGCGTAACTTCGTAGCGCGCAGCACGTGCTGAATAAAATCTTGTTGCGAGTGAACAGCCGCAGTTGGCGGTCTGGTGGATACGTATCGTGAGGATGGATGGCAGGGATGATGAGAGATGTGGCTGGGCGAATAATCCGACTGCAAGGCTGAACTATACCGGCATCGACGGAGATCATTCCTGTCTATATAGTCACAGTGGAGGCCGATCAACGGAGGTGTCAAAGATTCTTATTGCGGTGATCAGAACACCGCTACCAGTTATACAGATATTCTCCGGATCCTGAACCTGTCCCACAGCGACGTCAGCCATCTCCATCCGGACGCGCCTTCGACACCCGCAACTTCGTCTTCGGTAATTTGTTCTCTCTGCAATTCGATGGCAATGTGACCTTTCCCCGCGCAGCGTCCTGGACACCCTCAGTCTGACATGGCAGTCGACAGTGACCTTTGGGAACAATTTCCTGTGCCCGAACGTCACGCCGGACTGCGCCTGCTGTGCGGCGTTCGGGATCGTCGGCTTGGCGTACGAGACGGCGCTGGGGACGGAGGACGTCAAGCCCTGGTTCCGGTTTCGCTGCGGGACGGTGCCCCTTCAGCCACGAGTGGTCCGTCGGCGGTCCGGGAGGACCACGAGAAAGCCGATTATCCCGGATGTCGTACTACGAAACTTGCGTGAATCCGAACGCTCCGCCGACCTCCGAAGCACCCTCGATGATCTCCGCGACCTGCAATGGTCCTTTGAACGACACTAGGGACGCCGGAAACCTGTACGCCACCGGATGTGATCACGGCGACGTGCACCCGGGGCAGTGTGACCTTTTCCCAGGTGGATTTTCACGCGTCGGACGCGCTACAAGCCAGGGTGTCGGTGGACAACAGCGCGCCTTCTTGCACAGTTCTGACCGGAAGCCGGTTTTTGGCTCAGTGCACTTCCTTCAGCCCACATCGGCAACCTACTCGACGACGAAACGATGAAAATTTCAATTGGCCTGCGTCTGGGAGCGGATATCTGCGAGCCACATAACTGCACCAAATGTCACAAACATGTTGACAAGTTGGGCCACCACGGATTATCATGCAGCTACTCGGCTGGTGGGCATGCGCGCCATGGAGGGCTTAACAGTATTACGTGCCGCGCCTGTGCTTCAGCTGATAGACTCGTAACCGTACACTGCGCAATAACTGGTTGTTTAACGTTGTAATGATTAACGGATAACTGCTGAACTCCAGATTCGGTGTAACGTAATGATAATGTGTAAAGCATTAACAAGCGATTAAATATGACCGACAGAAATCACGTATCCTTCTGACACACATCAGACGAACATACTCGTACAGATCACCACAATGTAGCCACATTCCTTATGTGCACCATTGTAACAGTTCTCTCTCACTCAGAAACATGTAAACATGACAACGCATGAGCAGCTGTGAATTAGGTAAGCTAGGAATGGTGGGAATCAGTGATCCACACGACTGGTGCCATCCTTTTGCGGCGTCTGGCTGGCACGCGCCACCACACACGCGCACATCCGGCTAACCGGCACCGGCAGCATGCAGGCGGCTTGCACAGCTGGTGTCCCTGCTAAGCTCGAACCACGCGGCACGTCCTCCATGACAGATCAACGCCCTGACGGCTGTACAACATTCGCCTGGAAAAGAGGAATGTGTCTGGCCTGGGATGTGACGTGCGTCGACACAATGGCCCTTTCCCATTTCCCGCCTACGTCGATTACGGCAGGTGATGCTGCTGTACAAGCAGAAGAAAAGAAGTCCCGACTGTATGCCTATCTGCAAGGGCGCTACATTTTTTCTCCGATCGCCTTTGAGACGAAGGGTCCTTAGTGCCCATCGGCTATCGCCATTGTGCAGGAGTTGGGCAAAAGACTTCAGGAGCACACAGGAGAGCGTCGATCACACGAGTTTCTGCGTCAACGACTATCGTTGGAGATTCAGCGCGGAAATGCAGCATCTATCCTTGGCACGATGGACGGAGTGGATAGTTTAATGAAGGTTTGCTGTTGTGATTAATATAGCGAGTTTCTTTCTTTATTACCATAACTGCGCGATGATTTTTAATAAGAGCGTTTAATAAAAACACCCTGAAGCGCCGGCACGTGCTGCGCGACATGAACGCGTGGATACTGCGCCAACCGCACCGACTGCAGCTGACCGCAGCCCCCAGCGGGTTAATTTGTTAGAAAACGAAGAACACAAACTCAGAATACAACTTAAGGGATTTGGCTTGGTACATAGCACCAAATTCGCGTACATTTACGGGGACTTTCGCTGTCGCGCACTCCCAAACACGTTTTGCATTGCTTTTATGGTATTTTGTAGCCAAAAGAATTGTATACGAAGGTGCGAAATCCGTTTTCGCGCAACATCCGGTTGCGGAGTTGTGAAGGCAACAAAATTCCAAAAGATTAAATGCATTCAGGTGTACCAAAGTCTCGTTATGGACCGATCCTTTCAAATTTTGCACATACATAAATACGCATAACCATGAAGATCGTTCTTACATCGATTCACTGTTCTAGCATGTTTTCAAATTTTATAAAGAATTTCAAAAATTTTAAAATCGAAAAAAATCTTCAAGTCTGGCTAGGTGTAAGAACGATGTTCATGGTTCTGTGCATTTACGTGCAAAATTTGAAAGATCGGTCCATATGACTTTAAACACCGGAATGCATTAAACTTTACAATTTTGTTGCGCTCATAACTTCGCAACCGGATGTTGCGCCGGCAATGCACGCCTTTGTATACAAATCATTTGGCTATACAATGTCAAAACCAACCCTAAAACGTGTTTGCAAGTGCGCGAAAGCGAATATTCCCGTTAATCTACATGAATTTAGTGCTATGTACCGGGCCAAATCCCTTAAGATCGTATAGCATAATATTATAAATTTCGATGTTGGACTTATTTTGAAAAGGTCATTTAATTTCGCCCCGAAACACTTCGGCAAAATACAGCTGAACGGGGTGAGTGCCGCATATGACTGCGTAATATACTGGTACTGTGCTGACGGAAAGGGAAAGCATTAGTTCTTGACAATAACTTTAATAACAAAACAAGCGGTAATATCAATGAGATGGAAAGCAACAGGAAATGGTCGACCGAAGGCTGGAATGATCGATATCATACACAGCAGAACAACACCTTATATCTCAGGGCAACCGTGTTGCAGCAACTCTAGAAAGTTTGGTAACTTACCAGATGACAATAAACATTCACAACTTCGTATGACAATAAAACATGAGAGCAATCTTTTAGGAGTTTAGATTGTCAGTCGTTATGGCCAAAGCCATACACACATACGCAGTTGAACAAACTGTAATATAACGCATCAAGCACAAACACAAGTTTAGCAATAAATCTCATAAACATGGATTCATCTTGTTGTCAATACAACAACTTGTTTCCAAGCTGCTTCACAGATGTCATGATTGCACAGTGACGTTTACCAAAACTGCAAAACCTGTACCATGATTCAGCCGAGCTCCAAAGACGCAGAAACACCGCCATCGGCCGGAGTTTAATTATTCAGTCTAACCTAATGTGTATTGCTCTTATGGCTGGAAGCACTAGATTCCTGCCTTAAAAAGGGCAATTTTCAAGATTTTATTTCAAGAATTGTCAGAAACGGGCGCTGTTCTAGTCCGATTCCTTATGTTGTATGGAAATGGGACGAGTGCAGCGATGTGGAGGAATTCGCTATACAAGTACAGCGGATTGCTCCATATCGCTGCGCTCGTCCCCCGTTAGGTCGCCGGGTCCGGGGCATCGTGTGGCGTCGAATCCCCGAAACCCGTGCGGATCGTCACGACGGAACTTCCTGTTGGCAGTGTTGTCTGCTCTCCCGCCACTCCCTGCAACTACTGCCAATTTTCTACTGAATATTGTACTAGTGCTATTACTGCACAGTGCACATGGCTACTTACTTTACTAATACTCGTATTATTAATTTTTATCTGTACTTCCTTATTTACTATTGTTCAACTGTCGCTTTGGCCAATGTCAAAACGCCGGCAGAATTTTCTGCCGACCGAATTTTTGTGTGGTCAAAATGCCGAATTTTTGCCTCGAGGCATACTTGGCACGCGGTGTATAACAAAGGTTTGGGAATCTACACTTATGCAATTATACCAGTTTCTTTATCGGCACGATTTTAGTGTTGCTTTGACAGGGTGTATAAAAACTCGCAAAAAGAGAATCAAGAGGCCGCGCAAAAGACAAACAAGGTGCCACAAAATAGGTAGAAAACCAACTTAAAGCGATCCTCGCATAAAGTAAAGGGTTAACATATTATGTACTGTATTCGTTTCAGAAGAAGCTTCTACCTGTACCCATACATGTTCCATCGTCCGACAAATAAGCAAAATTAAAGGAGTATGCAATGCGCTTTCAGAAACCAATCATCTAATCATATACCTGACATATACCTGCTGTGCTGCGCGACGAATAATGTTATACGTTAAATGCATCGACGAACGCATTTTCTTTGTGAGCGCGTCTGCGCGTAGAAATTCCTTCACGAGAGTCAGCTGTGCCAGTCTAGACTCTGAAGTTCTGGCTCATCTCAGGTACGTTCCAAAAGGAATCAGACAAAATCACACTTCGGTGTTATTGCCGCTGTGGCATTGTTGAACACCTTGTTTGTCTGTTTTGCGCGGCTTTTCTTTCTCTCCCAGTCTCCCGGGAGTTTCTATACACGCTGTCAATGCAACAGCACTAAAGCATGCCGATAAAGATCCTTATGTAACTGTAAGATCCAGATCTTTGTTATACACCGCGTGCCAAGTATGCCTCGAGGCAGGTATTATTTTTAAATTTTTACTTTTAGCTGAAAACGTTGAAAAAATTCTGCCGGCATTTTGACCACCGGAAATTCGGCCGGCGTTTTGACCCCTCAAAAATTCTGCCGGCAGAAAATTCGGCCGGCATTTTGACCGCACAAAAATTCGGTCGGCAGAAAATTCTGCCGGCGTTTTGACATTGGCCGTCGCTTTACGCCGGGAGTTACAGTAGTTGTTCAGCTCATACATCACAATTTGCGCTCTTAGTCACAGACTTTTGCCGGTTGCCCTGTATGTCACACATCGTCAACCTAGTGAAACAGACCCATTTTTTTTTAAATTTTTTTACTGTTTTAATTTAGTTGCACGCGTGAAGAATGTTTGTCCCTGTAACGGGGTACTTCTGCCGGGAAGATGTCCTGCTGCAAGCTAGTTTTTCTTCTGAATAACCATTTCCCGGGAATTTCTTTGGTTACATGTATATATTTTTTCAGGAATTTTGCATGACTTACAGATAATAGTCCCTGTGTTAGGAATCACACCCGAGAAACGACTTAGAGACAGCGTCGTTAATTTCCATATTCTCAGCAGCAATTAAGTATATATATCGCACGCTGGGTCCAAATCGAGATGCGAATCGACTCAAAACCAAACTGCGTACTTTAGATTATTTCGGTATCCAAAGCACTGCACCGCGAAGGATAAAAATCGCCCATAAGTTCTCAATTTTTCCATCACAACGAGTGTCTATGTGTAATATACTATAAACCACATTCCACGAACTTGTGAAAAAGTTTGCCTTATCACCGAATAAATCGACCATATCCTGACTGTTACCATAGCATATATAGCATAGCATACTAAGCCTATACCCGCTCAGAAATGCATACATACAGAGAAGTTAGGAGAATGAGAGTAAGTATGTAAACCGAGCCGTTTTCGAACAAGTAGCCGAATAAAGCAATCGCAAAGTACGGCTATCAGCTATGTTTTTGTAAAATAGAATGATAATTTAGAAAGGCTGGTGAGCATGCCTTCACCATGACAGCATCGGCCGGTATATAACGCCATAATTCCACCGCACATTTTAAAGAACTAACTATTCTTACGACAGCCAGAATATATTGTGGTTAACTATAGATCGCAGAATGCTTCGACAAATAACGTTGTTTTCCTTGGCGGTGTTTGCCCGCATCGTCGTCAGTCTGGACTGCGAGGAACTAGCCGCTCAGTGCCAGGAGTATGGCAAGCAAGAGCGCCTAACCGTTGAACGCTTAATGAGCTTGAGCATATCCTGGCCGTTGACCGCGGAGGCCCTGCGGGAATACCAGCCGTTGGACGAAGCCTTTTCTTTTGCCGGTGTGGGTTAACGTTGCTTCATTTATTCGCCGTATTTCTATTATTAGTGCGTCATTCTGTCATTAAGGATAATTACACGTTATTGCTTGTGTTCATCTGGCCATAACCTGTGGTGATAGTACTCTGTACGGCTGCTTTTAGGATTCGATTTAGGTCTTGGTTTCGATTTCTTAGCTGGGTAACTTTCTACTCAAAAACATTTTCCAGTAGCCTGGTATGGTATTCCCGTTAATACAGTTTGGCTGCTGTTGTTCGGTAATAATAATAATAGTAATAATAATAATAATAATAATTCACTGGTAGTGTTTTCCATGCGGCTGCTTTGCAGATACTCCAACAACACCGGACACTGCGTCCGCAACCTGCTGACCAGTTGCCCGGAATTCCTCCAGGACAATCCCAGCGGATGGTTCGACTCCGAGATGCTCATCGCCAAGGGCCGTCTCTGCGCGACGAGCATCGCCCCGGTCCAGTACTATCGCGCGCTCAGTCACTGCCGCCAACACGATCCCACGCTGCAACAGTCCGTCCGCCGGGCCGCGGAAGCGACGGCGAGAGACGAGGTAGAAGACGTCCCGGTCAACAGCCATCCAGTGTGCGGTCACGTTGAATATTGCCAGTAGGTGGTGTCCATGTGGCTGTTGCCTGCTGGTAGTTTTTTTAGTGGTGTATAATTGCGCGACTGTACGTTTTCACTTTGCACATACAAAACGTGTCTCATCTTTATATTATTCATACTCGTACAAGTAACAAGCTTACCGAGCAAAGCGTTTTTATTTATGCGCCGTTTTTATGGACTCGTCAACGCGTGGTCAATTTAAGTCCAGCTTTGTCTTAAAAAATTCCATATATCACAGATGTGCCAATAGATTTTAGTGACCTCTGGTCAGAAAATAATAATTTCATCGGGTCTTCAGTACGGGAAACGTACGAGTAGAACACCGGAATAAAGCCCAGACTGTAACCACGGAGAGAGTAAAACCAAAATAATTTATGCATCCACTATATAGACTCTCCGTGGTTACAGTTATTATGTTAAGTACTTTTTATTGCTGTGCAGTGAATACTTCTTCGAGTGCTCTTTACGTTTCCTGTACTTAAAACCTGGTGAAACCATCTTTTGAGTTCTGACCACTGGTTCATAAAACTAAACAAATATCTATTGGCACACCTATGGAAAATATGGAATTGATATGGAATTGGACCAAGCTGAACTAAAACTGACCACGCGTTGACGAGTCTATAAAAACGACGCATAATACGTTTTGGTCGGTAAGATAAAGATATCGGTATATGCGTATTGAAAATTGGGTTGCAAAGACACTTTGTACTGATGTTCCCGCTTTGTACTGCAGCGTTAACGCGGCGGGAATCGAGGACGCGAGTGGTGAAGCCGGTGCGAAAATGGCGGCATACTGTGGCGCGGAGGCCGTGGAGACCCTCCGGGAATCGGCGGTGCAGATTTATGCCGCTCACTGCCTGAACGAGAACGATAGCGATAACGCCATACGTTTAATCCAGCGATAACGGCCGACATTTAGTTAGATTGCGTTCCTTGCCTGTCACCAGAAATTCTATTATTCTGTGAACAGACAACTATGTGAACGCGTGTGAAGTACTAGAACTTGGAACTGTCGGAAGTTAAGCATGATTCAACGCTGACTAACAGTACAGATACAAAGGCGCACTTATATAAATTCTTTTAAAGTTCCAGTCTGAACATTTGCCTGATTTTCCCTCCCGGATTTGTACACATACCAGTACGAATAAAAATCGTTAAGCACTTTATACGCATTGTGATACATGAACAGGCAGGTTCTTCCACTGATTTCCTCTGCACTTTCCCGTGGTAAAAGCAGAAGCGTTGTACATTATGCTGCTTTTCATAGCACTCTAAGCCGTGACCGGTCAAATTGTGCTATCTTATCGCCGAAGGGTTGCAAAATGTTCATGGCCGGGGACGGGGAATTTTTTCTTACTGTACCGATGGTCGGCATTATTTTTATCAGGCTGATCCGGCAGCACTTTTTACTGGCACCGCAAAATCGCTCCTTGCAGTAACTATATTTAGGTTTTTATTTTGGGTTTTAACTGTAAGTAAGTCATTTCGCCCCTTATCTGTAGCGTCAACTTACTCGCTCACAGCTTATAATTATTAGTAATACAGATTTTTTTGGGTGAAATGACTGGTAGTCTGGCACATGCACATGTATAAGGTACGTAGAACGCGCAGTATTACAGCACCTCTGGCTGATCCATAGCTACAACTGGTAGGACTATGATTGTTGTTTGCTGGCCTCTCTGCTGCTCCGATCCGATTATATAGGGATTTCCATGACGGAATCCTTGCATGATGCGTCCGCTGCGACGCCAGTTGGAAGTCACAGAATTCCGGTAACAATATCATACATGCAATCATATGTTCGCCAGACGCCGGGTCCGCGGCTCATTGTAACAGCAATTGCTGTTACGGTCCAATGCGCGGAGGAGCCGGCGTCTGGCGACGCTTCCCGATGATGGCGAGCATTACCAGCCGAGCGAAAAAACTTCCGGCCGCAGTTCTGGTTGCGATAAAGCCGAGTGGATCCATGCTTGCTTGTGCAAAAATTATAATAAATACTACAGGATAACTGTAGGGAGTGTGTAGTGATGCGGTATGGTAAGCGTTGGCGGAAATGCTAATATACTCTGCAGCTTATAGCCTTAAGGATACTTAACTTACTGCTACGCTGCCCGACGAGGCAAGACGGCAGTGGATAATCACATTAATCAGCACCAGCACCGTTTACACCGCATCGAGCTACCCTGGAGTATTGTGAATGACGGAATATGGTGTACGGTAGCGGCTAAGTACAGTACTTTTTCCATCAGTACTCGTACATGTTTGTACTTTCTAGCATTTTCCTTTTGTCTTCGGATATACTTTTGGCTTTTTCTACACGGAGGCGCTTCGCGCCTATATAAGTCCGAGAGTTGCAGTCTTTTGGCATGAGTTGTTTCGCATTCGAAGTTTGGCAGTGTCGGAGTTTTTCTATTAAAATCTATCGTCGGAATGCAGTCAGATTCTCGCTTCGCGTAGGTCGTAGCGTATGCATATTATTTAGTTATGCCACATTGAGATTATCAGCTCATTCTCTGTCGTTGAGTCAGGTCGGTAGGATTGATATTACGGTATTATCCCTATCGTACTCGTCTCTCCGTCATGGCGCCCACCGTCAGTTCGAACCTTTCCTAGGCCAAGCTAAGTAATATGTGAAGTGTGTGAATTGTACATTCCCAGGTGCTCAGTCCGGGTACTTCGGTACCGACTGGACGGATGTCCGGGCAGTGACTGCCGACTGGACGCCTTAACTAAGTAGTCCGGGTACTGGCGACAGGTGGGTTGGTGGTGAGCCAATTCTGCCTGTGCCTGCGACCCACGACGAAAACCTAATTGTCCGGGAGCTTTGCTCTGTCTGGACGCTGTGCAGTTTGTCCTGCCAGCTGATCGATGCAGGGTTACCCTGTATATCGATCCTGAGCACTAAACTGGGTAAAGTCTAACTAAAGTAGGGACTCAATTCTCCTGGCCAGAGATTGATGTTCCCGAATTATTCTTAAGCCAGCGAACAGACGTGTTCCTGGAAATCTGAAGTGGAAGTTGCGCAACAAAACTGCGAGTAGACAGAGTCGAAAGCAGAATTCTAAAGCTGAAGTACGTATGCTGAGAGCAGTGCCGAAGCATACTAGTGTGCACACAATCTTGAGCGTAGCTAAAGCGTGGACAGCCAGAGCAGTGCTTGAGCTGTAAAAGTGAGTGTTACGAACACGGAGAACAAAGGCGTAGCTAACGTATCCGGGTTAAACAAAAGACGGTTCTCGGATTCAAACAAAAGAAGTCAGTGCAACGAGCGCTGAACAAAGAACTGAAGTGAAAAGTGAAAAAGCTGAAGAATGGATAATTCGAAAAGCACGGCGTCACAGCCTGTAGTGCAGCCGAAGTTTACAAGACAAGCAGTAAAGCAAGGTGCAGCAGAGCTGATACCGGATAAGTTTATCGTGCCGATTGGCGTTAAAATCGAAGCATTCCTTAACGAACTGAATGTTGCAATTCCGAAATCAGGAATATGTGGCAAAGATTTCGTTACCTATGATAACGATGAAGCCAAAATGGGAAAGCCACCGACAGGTTGGCGAGTGTGGTTAGAACACATAGAGCTGCCGACTAATATTACGAAACTGTTTACTGTTGAAGCTTATAAAGCTGCTATGCAGAAGTTTAATGCGCAAGTGCAAGCTGTTCAAACAGCAGCTGCTGATGCGTATGAAAATTCTGGTGAAACGGTGGAAAAGGTTGTTTCCCCTTTTGCTTTTGTACAGCATAATAAGGAGCAGGAAGTTGATAACACAGCTGCTACCAATATCGAAAAAGATATGAATGCGAGTATCATTGATGAAGATGTGCCAACTGATGGGGTTGAACCACTATCAGCACAGCCGTTCTTTCAGCGTAGTACAGTGGCTCCCGGTCAGAGCGACGAACAGAATAAAACGATGGACGTGATCCATCCGTTATTTGCCGCAGTGAGGCAGTTTTCCTTAGATCAGGAACAGTTTGATAATACTGTTCAGGCATGGGAAGGCAGTATAGGAAATGAAAAAGATTTCGGCGAAATGAAAGAAATGGCCAAAGCCGGTTTAAATGCAACGGAAGAAATGCACATGAAGTTTGTAAAGGCTAACACGTGGTGTCATACACTAAGTGATGACAACGACGCCTTGAAAGAAGATGTGAAGAAACGAGATGAAAAAATAAATGATTTGGAAGAAAAGATGAAGAAGCACGACGAAGAGTGCAAAGAAAATGTCAAAAAATTGAATACTGAGATTTTCGATTTGCGCGTTCATAATGACAAAAACAAAGATGAAGTGGACCGTGTACGAAACACGAATAAAAATCTCGAAAAGCAGTGCCATGATTCAATGGTCAACAGTGGTAAACTGCAACGTGACGTTATACGTGCGCAGAGAGAACGCGATGATCTGCAAGTTAAACTAAAGGCAGAAGAATCGCGGGTCGATGCGGAATTGAAAAAAGAACGTGACGACCTTCAAGGTCAATGGATATTTATCGAAGATGAGTTCGATAAAGCCAAAACACGTGAAAAACATCTGGATGAGTGGGAGGCCAGACTGCAGCAGTGGGAAGACAGTTTGAAAACTAAAAGCAGAGCTGTCAGTGGTCAGGTTGAATCCCGGGTACATACTAGTACTTTTGAACGGGAAGCGGCATTTGATGCAGCACCGAAGCTGACGTCTGGTTAACAGTCGCAGCCGCATATAAGCCGTCGTGTGGAGTTTAACGAAACCCACCGCAGTCGGGATTATGTACCCTTGCGTAATAATGAGTACGAGTACGAAGACGACATGCGCAGAGCAGAAGACGCGCAGTGGGAAGATGCACAGTACGAAGATAACGAACAACCGCGTGTAAATACTCGTACCGACGAGTTGATTGAGCGCAGTATAGCGTTAATGGAAAAATTTGAGAAAAGTGGAAAGGGTACAAAAGGAAAAACTCACTACCCGCAGAACTACAAGGGTACGCAAGAAAGCGGTAAGGTTGAAAAGTTTATTCTTGACTGTGAACGCTGTCAAGACTTAAATGGTTGGGATGACAAACAGCTTATCGACAAAGGTTTCTCAAATTCGCTAAAGGATGATGCGTATTTGTGGTACGCAGACCATAAAAAGAAAAATCCAGATAAAGACTGGAAGTACTGGAAGGGAGTACTTCTAAGTCATTTCTCTTCCGAGAGTGATCCCGCAGAAATACGGCAGGCAATGTATGCCCGTGTATTTACTGACGCGCATACGGTAAACTCGTACGTGGATGGTTACCTAAACTGGTTCAACACATTGGGAACAAGTGAAGAAGAGCGTGTGTCAATCCTTATTCAAGGATTAAGACCGCATAGATGGCGCTGGTTTGAAAAGTTAACTGAGTCCAAACCAAAAACAGTTGAAGAAGTGTGTACTCAGCTGAAAACGTTTTACAGCTTGAAGTCGCAACAAGCTGAATACAATAACACCAGGAATCAAAACAACAACAGTTACGGTAATAACGGCAACCGTGGACGCGGTGGATACCGCGGTAATAATAATCGTGGTCGTGGTGGCCGAGGCGGATACAATAATTACCGCCAGAACTCGTACGAACAAACTGGAAGTACGTACGAGAAAGGAGAGAGTATAATGGAAAATACTCAGAATAGCGGCCGACGGCCGTTCATGATCGGCAACGTTGAAATTGACTTAAACAAGTGGAAGAATGATGCCGGTCAGCTGATTTGCTTTAAGTGCCACGAGCTGCACCCAGCAAAGTTTTGTACTTTCAAAGGGAAATTCAAAGAGGCGACACGTGAACCGCCCGCGGACGTGTTAGCCCGGCATAATAGCAGAAGAGCGGAAGCTCGTGCAATGGAAGTTTGCAAACTTGGGAAGGACGTGCAAGTGAATGCATTGTCCGTAGAGCGAATACAGCAACTCTCACAGTATCCAGATGCTGTGGAGAAAGGGTTCGATGTTGCGTTACCGACTCTAGACGCACAAGCTGTCTACGTATTATTGTCTATGAATGACAATGATGAAGTCAAAACGTTGGTGGATACTGGAGCAAGTATTTCCATTATGCCTATGCACATAGCGGAAAAGTTGAATGTGAGCATTTTAAAATGCCCAGCACATGTGTCAGACGTAACACTGAACAC